TGAAATTAAATTTTGGTATAAAATTATAAATAACTTTTAGCATAGTATATTCCATTTAAATGTTTATATGCTATTGTTTCTTTAATTGTTAAAAATTACGTGTAATAATTATTTGGTTAAATCTTACCTTGAGTTGCAGCCACAAATGCACGTTTCATCTTAAAAATTCAAAACACAAACACAAACCTAACAACTATTGATTTAAATTTTTACTTGAAAAGTTCTGGATGACACTTCTTTCTGAATGATTTCTCTGGATGATACTTCCTCTTTTACAGATGAGGTGTGCTTCTTCCCGCCATTAAAGGTCTGCTCTCCCGCTTAAAAATCGATCGTGAGAAATATCGATTATTTCGAGAATCGTAGGAAGTATATTGCGTACTTCACCGTTGGAGCGCTGTAATCGCGCGTTTCATACGAAATAATAATTTGACATAAAAAATAAAAAATTCTGGTCTAAATCGAATACACAAAATTCATGAAAAATTCTTAGAAAAGAAAATATTCACATGTCTGATGAAAAATTGTCAATATTTTAAACGGGGACATGAAAAATTTATTATATCACATAATAAAATTATTATTTTAACTATTAAATATGCATATTCTTAATAAATTATTGTTGAATTTAATATTAGAATTGTTACGCAGTATGAAGTTAAAGAATGAGCAAATAAGTAGAAAATGTTATAATAAAAGTATCTGTGTAAAAGCATGTAATAAAATACATGATACATTGTTATGTGTATTATTATATACATATATAACAATAAGTTAGCCAAATACAAGGTTATAATATTTGTATTAGAATTAAAATTAAATTCAACAATATTTGGTTAGAATTAAAATTAAATTTTGATATAAAATTATAAATAACTATTAACATAGTATGTTCTGTTTAAATATTTATATGCTATTATTTCTTTGAAAATTACATGGAATAATAACTTGGTTAAATTACTTGGGGCTAAAAGTTATACACTTTTTCAACAATCAAATTTCGATGGATGAAAGCCAAAAATCAAGTTTTAATTTAAAAATCTACAGCACAAATACAAATTTAACAGCTATTAATTTAAATGTTTACCTGAGAACTTCTGGATGACGCTTCCTCTTTTACAAACGAGGTGTACTTCTCTCCGCCATTAAAAATCTACTGTCCCACTTAAAAATCGATCATGAGAAATATCGATTGTTTCGATAATCATAAGAAGTGTATTACCTGTTGGCGCTGTAATCTTTAAACTAGTATAAACTCAATTCGCACGAAATGTTAACTTGGAATAAAAAATAGAAAATTATGGTCTAAATCAAATGTACTAAATTCATTTTTTACTTTCTTTCATAAAGTTATGACAGTTTGAAATTCAACAATTTTGTTGTCGTCCTTATTCAATACAGTTGCCATCTTTGTCTAACACAAATGGTGTCATCTATAGGATTTTTCAGGCCCTTCTAATTTTAGTTCAAAATGAGAGTTACATAGATGGTAGCACTAACTCTATATAAAGACTATCTTTGTCCTCGTCTTAATTTCGAATTCAACTAAAAGAATAAATTGGAAAAATTCGATGAATGGCAGAATTTGTACTGTTCATGTGGAGGTATAATTAATTAATAATTAATAATAGTATGCTAATTAACGTAACCACTCCTTTTAATTAATGATGCTACGCTAATTAACATAACCATAATAGAATATAATTTTGTTTAAGTCTTACGTATAATGAACAGTCTTCTCGTGCTCTTCTAATGAATCTATTTCATCTTCTTTTTTCTATTTCCTTTCTTTCTGCCGCCGTTTATCTTTTTCCATATACGAGGTATATGAATCTATGCTTTTTCCTTCTTTTCTTTTCGCCGGCATTGTCGTTGGTCCACCCGGTAAGAAGAGACTGCAGCGCCTCCACTTCAAACTAAGTATATACCCTTATATATATAGAAGTAATAGTACATTTTAGTTTCAATTATTTCCGATAGATGGCAGGACCTCTCCACTGTCAGCAAGCAAAGAGAAGAATGTTCGGCAAGGATGTTCTCCATCCAATGCGTTTATAAAATACGTTACTTTTCCAACATTTTTCCGGTCGTGTCCACACCATTGTCAATTATGCTCAATTAACGTAAGTTTTCACTTTTATTATAATGATATATGAAATACTGTTGCGATTTATTACTAAATAATCTTTCTTTCTTCGATCGTCTGTGAAATTCAAAAAGGACGCCAGAATGACTAATAGTAAATTCGTTATCGTGAAGAATATATTTGCATTTGATTTATTCTCACGGAGGCAAACATATTTATTTCCCCTTTATATTAGAAAATTGATAACTTTATTCAATAATCTATGGTAATTTGGAGAAAGAAAAGTTTCGTGGTTAGGTTTGTATATGTTCTGCGCATCGCGTATTGCGCAGCAGAGTAGCGCGCCATATTTTAATAATACTCAATGTATTCGAAACGCTAGAAATGAACTTTTAGAGTACAATTTTTATAAAATCAGTTATATTGCAATATATTTATAGATGTTTGATAATATTAGAAAATATTTTAGAATGCATAATATAACTTTAATTATACTAATTAAATAATTTATCACATTAGTAATAATATTTTTCTATCTGTAATAAATGAGCAATAAACAGAGATTTGTTTTCCATCGTAAACTTTTTAAAGAATCAATTATAGATAATATTCTGTTGCAGATTTTTTCCAACCTTCTCTTTTAACGCAAGATTTCACAAATCCTATTTAATGATTGGCTTCATCACGATATTTTCTGGACCACGATGATAACGTTCTTCGCATCTAATGGTGAGTCGCATGCATACGAGTAGTAGAATTTTCTTGTCTGTGTGTTATTTTATTAGTTAAAGATAGTATAGCACGATGTTAATAATGTTAATAATATACAACAACAATCAATATGAATATAAAATTGACGTAGTATAATATGAAGAACCTCAATTTTATTTTTCTTAAAATTCCTTCTGCCTCATAATTTTCTATTCCTTGCGATAAACTGCTATAGCAACATTCGATCAACAGCTATCTATCTTACCTTTCCATTTCGCGTAATTTGTCATTTTTTAGTTGTTGGTAAATAATCTTTATTACCTACGCTTGTTGTCCTCCATCAGATGGTAGCACATACATGCCGGAATGACGTTACTGTTCATAAGAATTATTCACAAAATAATAATTATTCGGAAGAGTACGTCGTGGAAAGTGCATTATCCCATAGGATCAACCAACTCTCCTTCACTCGTGACCATTTACAAAGAAAAGATCGCTTTAATCATTCCCAAGATACTAATCTCTCTTTCAAACATGCAATTACATCGCTCCACTTAACAGAAAGAAATCTTCTTAACAATTAAAATAAATCAGAAATCAGAATATAACGAGTAAAACGATCGACCGATGCTCGCCCAGTACAGTGAAACGCAATTTCCATAATGTGTGGAACACGAAACCAACTACAAACGTGTTTTAACGTATCTATTTGATATTTATGTTAATGGGCATCGGTCGGAGAACCAGTTAATGATAAGTGCTGGCCAGTTATCTTGATGAGTCGTGTCCGAGCACATGAATTTCTTCATACGCAACGGAGGCTCGAGCTCTTGCTTCTTGTTACTAAAAAAAAAAATAAAAAAAAAAAAAAAAATAAAAAAAAAAAGTTTCAGCGTAGAACGATTGGAAGATTGTCGTATACAGAAATCATGGGTCATCGGTGCGATTAACTGGCACAGAGCTGGTTTCTTCAGGAATTCTTCTTCCATTCTTGTTCGAATTCGCTTTTATTGGGATTTCGTTAACAGATGTTATTGATATGATCTTCAAAGTTAGCGTTGAAACCAAATTTCTCACACATTGAGCCACATTTACACACTAACGCTTTGAAGAGCGTTTTTTTACTCTTACGTGGGAGGGCAATTTACAGGGTATTTGGCTATTAGAAAAGCCGTCGACCTGAAAAATGGTTGGGAAACACTGTTCTATAGGTTGTCCGACGCGATAGCTGGCAAGTCCTGTGGCAAAGAGGAAAGTCTGGCTAACGAGGGAGCCAAGAACAGCTTACTTGGCGGAGGCAGACCATTTTCGAAAGTTCGCCGAGTTGTGTAACAAACTTTACTCAGGATTGGTTGCCCGAAGGGACAAGGGTGGGGCTGGCAAAACGCGACAGACAGAGAAAGACCCAAAACCAACTATATAGACACGTCGTTATGTACAGAGTGTTCCGTGCAACTTGACCAACAATGATATAACTGAAATCAGGCTTTTCGCTATCTGTAACATCTTTTGTCTCTGTCGACGGAAAATTGCCCGTCTTTTACTACCTTACGATTGTTCTATGTATCGTCGAGAACTATCGCTGCAATTAACATATCTTGAAAGGAATTAACGAATTTCTTCAGTAACTCTCACAGGCCCTGTGTAGAGGCCTTTCGAACAATGAGCTGGAGATTTCAGTTACGATCCTCAAGACGATTTCTTGAAATCCTATAAATGACATTTTTATTTATTTTTGTTTAATTCTTTCGATCAGCTATGCATTCATTACACGCTGTACTCGAAGAAGAAGAGAGAAAGAAGAAAAAGAAAGATTATTCTACATTTTCAGCTCACTCTCTTTACCATGATTATTGAGACACTCCGTATAGTAACTCTCGTCGAAGAGAGAAAGACGAAGGAGGTTTCGGTGGAAGAGAAAGAGAATGCAAGGTAAGGATAAGGTGAAAGGATAAGAGTGAGACAGGGTATAAATGTGTGGTGTGTGGCGTGTGGTGTGGAAAGCAATAGGAGAAGGGAGCCAACGAGAAGAGATCTCCTCCGAGAGAAGAGATTCAGTTAGGATATCTATATAACCGATCCACCGTTAGACGTCCGACAAAATACGTGCAACTTCGTAATGATAAGCGATACCTCGAGAATGCCTCTGGGAGATCAGCAAGCTAGCAGAGAGGCGAAAAGAATTTCGTACGTCCTGTTTCACGATATTTTTCTCGACACCGGTCGGCCAAAATGACGTAATTTAAAATTTACGGCTCTGAAGTTACGAGTAGAAAGGAATGATTGTTGCTCGTAGTTTTCTTTCCTCTTTTAACATTCGAATGCAACGAATGCTGTAGGACGTTGATCGTTGCCTCTGACTCGAGATGCAAAGATAATGGTCAGAAAAAAATGGATATACAAATATCGTCTGGCAAGGATAAATGTATTAAGAGTGGCTCCGATGCAAATCTGTAGACGAATGACGGATCGATCAATCGATTGAGATCGATTGAAATACCGGCAATTTTAGTCTTATTGTTGGCAATACTACTGCTCTACAAATGTCATAGAAATCTCATTTTCCCTGTTTTCTTTTTTTTTTTTTTTTTTACTTTGGCTGCGTGCACGTTCATTCTACCTGAACGTTTGGTTTCGACTCTCCATCAGAGCTTCCCTCGAGATGCGCCCGACGAAGAAAAAAGGATCGAAATATCGTCGGATCGCCGATCGATATTTTCGTGTATTTGTTCGCGGCGCTTTATCCATCGTCGGCATCTCGCGTCGCGATTGATTTTTCGACTTGGCTGGTTTCGATCTGTCGGGGCGTGCGGTTTTAAAACGCGTCGGCTATCGACCAACGCGGGTCATAAAGAGGCAACGAGAGAAAGAGGCAGCAGGGGAGGGCCGTGGTAAACGCGTACAAGCCGGGAATGGAAACAACATGGCCGCGGGTGGATCTCCATAACGAGCCCGGTGACTTGCACATTCGACCCAGAACGCATTAGCCGTATTTGCATTTAATTGCCGGTTGTTTGTTTGACGTCCGCGCGACCGACGGAATTAGGAGCAACATCGGCCAAGCAACTGCAGCTCGTATCCTGCACGCCCTGTGATCGAGAGCAACTCCGCGTACCTTCGATCGACCCTCTTCTTTGCTTCCTTTAAATACCTTATAATATATAATTTAACACGCATCACTCGTGAAACTCGCGGCACTGTGACAACTTGTATGTGCTCGCAAAGATCGTAGATAGAAGTAATTGTACAAAATCTCTATTGGAATCGAGGAAGAGAATTGCAAGCACCGCCTGTGCAATTCCTTTCTTCTCCCTTTCCTTTTGCACTTGCACACGCAGACTTATTTAGAGGCGTGTTACGATACGGAATACGGAAAGGTAAAAAGGAAGACCCTGGACCGATCGATCCGACGTCTCCGGTTAGGTTTACCTTACCGATCGACGTGGATCGAATGAAAGACTGTGATTCGATGTCCTTCGTCAGCCTGCTTCCCCCTCCCCCCTCCCTCCTTCCACCTGAATCTTTATCCCCGTTGATCTTGTAGGAGGAAATTGGAAAAATCCGCGAAGCATCGAAA